CGTGGATTGAGTGACCAAATTGTGTTTATTTATTTTGAAGGAACCCCTGACTATTATCCCTAAAAGTGATCCACCAATGACTAACAACTAGGTTCCTATTTAGTGCTAAGTAAACAACAACAAGTACTTATACGGTGCCCTCCACGCAGGTAGGGTTTAGTGCACTTAACAGAAGCGGAGCCTGCCTCCGAGCCGGGGTGAAGGGGGAGGTGGCCGTAAGCACGGTTAACCAGGAAAGTCTTCAGGCGGGACTTGAAAGAGGGGTGAGAGAGGGCAAGGCAGAAGAATTGAGGGAGTGTGTTCCAGAGTTTTGGGTGAAGTGGCCAAAAGCACGACCTCCGAGGGTGGGGCAGAGGATGCAACGGACAAGCAGAAGGTCAGTGCCAGTCGAGTTGATGGTAGATTGGGGAGTGAGGAGGTCGGAGAGGTGTCAGAGAATGAAGGGAGTTGAACACGAGTGTGAGGATCTTGAAGTCGATCTGTTCGCTGATGAGGAACCAGTGGAGCCTGGGCCAGAACTGGTGAGATGTGGGTGCGGAGTTTGGTCGGGTCAGTATGCGGGTGGCAGAGTCCGAATGAGCCGGATCTTTTGAATGGTGGAGCTGGGGAGACCGGCGAGAAGCGTGTTGGAGTAATCCAAGCGTGAGGTGACAAACGCATGCACGAAGCTTTCGGCTGCATTTGGGGTAAGATATAGTTGGAGGCGGGCAACGTGGGGGAGGTGGAAGAAGGCGGTCCTGGTCAGGGACTGGATGTGGGAGAGGAAAGAAAGCTGGGGGTCGAACCAGACGTCTACGTTGCGCACTGGTTCGGTGAGTCTGAGGGAGAGCCCAGGGAGGTTGAAGAGTTTAAACCCGCAGGGCAAGCAGAAGTGTGTGGAGTAAGGAAACTTGCCCAATTTTCGCCCTCCCGGGAATCAAACCCAGGTCTCTCGCTTACAAGTCGAGCGCTCTAACCACTGAGCCTCAAGACTCTTTTACTGTACTCTTACACATCATCTCAAAACCACTAGTTCACAGCAGTAATTGTGGCCAACAATAGAAGGGATCAGGAAACCACAAAAAAAGGTACTGAAGAATAAACAGCTTCGAAAATAATCAAATCAAAAATGAAAATGTTGTTAAGACTTTCCTTCCTTCCCTCCTTCAATACAAGCTACACGAACAAAATGTTATGTTGAAAGGAACGGTAAAAAGGTCTCGAGTACATTTCATTGCTTGAAACTCAGGATACTATTTGCACGGGTAAAAAGTCAGGAAATAATCTTTGAACTGAGAGACCCAGTGGACAATTTTTGGTTGGGTTTGCAGACTCTTAAGCAGCAGCGATGGGTTTTCCGCTTGTGTCAGGCCCCCGGCTGGCTGACCATCCCAAAAAAAGACAATCCTTTAATTCAGCCTTAATTGGGAATAGCAATACAAATGATCCTCGCATTTGATACAGCGCCTCATCACGTCTTTGAGACGGCTCAAAGCGCTTCGCAGGATATAATAATACTAATAATATGCCGTAAAGTGTAGTGTATATTGCTGGCAAAACGTGCACAGCGGCGGCGTCCCCGCAAAACAGTCATGAATTGAAGCAATCGATTTATTATTTCTTTTTTTTCTCAAGGGATTATTATCAGGCTTGCGTACGTGTGGAGTAAGGAAACTTGCCCAAGGTTTTTGCCCTGCCCGGGAATCGAACCCAGGCTTCTCGCTTGCGAGGCGAGTGCTCTAACTTATAATAATAAAAATCATCAGGCTCTGGCCTGCTCCATGTCTCCCGCCCGACCCGCCCTACCATCGGTGGTCGGGCTTTCAGCCTCTCTGCCCCCACACTCTGGAACTCCATCCCACGGTCCCTTCCCCTCGCTTCCTCCCTCGCCTCCTTCAAGGCCGGTCACAAGACCCTTCTCTTCGACCGAGCCTTTGGTCTCCCTCCCACCTCTCTGCCTTCCCCCGCCCCTACCCCACCCCTCCCCCTGCTCGGGGCCCGACACCTGACTGTTCAGCGGTTTGGGATGTGAGAGGCACTCTATAAATGTAATTTTGTTGTTGTTGTAATAATAATGACAACCATAATAACAATCCTGTCATTTGATATTATTAAAGACCGTTTTTATCCGAGGGATTGTTTACTACGATTTTCCCCCCCGTAGCTCAGCGGAGTGGTTAGAGCGTTCGC